ACACCGTCTTTGACTCCATGGAAAGCCTGGAGATGGGGCTTCCATGGGGATCTCCTACGCTCTGCTTTCTTCAGCATTTAGTCTGTGGCTCTGGAAACTCCTTGAAGGTTGCAGTGGAAACTTTCCTTTCCCAGTTAATATTAATAATAATAAAAATAATTAAAATCGAGCTCATCTTTTAACCGCTGGTGGCCTTTGGGAATTTTTGTCCATAACCATTATGGACTAAGAACCGTAACAACAACAAGTAGAATAATTATTATAAAAGGCGCGAGAGTTTCAGTGATTCTGTCCCTGAGCCAAGCAAAGTCACCTTGCAAGCACTGAAGGGAGTCACTCCTCCCTTCCCCAATGCTTCTTCCACATCCCCTGTCCAAATCATCCCTGGCCTCAAACGATTAAAAAACATTTTTTTGCACCAACAGGCAGAAGAGGCAGCCCAGGCATTGCAACAGTCCTGCCCAGGTTGGCAAAAGAGTCTCCCAGTTCCTGAACTGGTCTCTGACCATCTTCAGGACTTCAGGTTTCTTTCACTTTAGAGGACCAGTTGCCTTCTTCTCCTCTGGCCAAAGTCTGGAAGAGTTCCTGGGAAGAAGAAAGGGGCCCTTCAAGAGATCCAAAGGTAGACACCCTTCAGCCAAGTGGGCCAGTGGCTTGGAAGGAGTGACCTCAGTCTCAAGGGCTCTTTTGCTCCCCGCCAAAGGGAGGCACCAGCAAGCAGTCGGGACAAGGGCTCAGTGCTTGGATGGGTCCAGGAATCTGGCAGGAAATGGGGCAAGCGTCACACCAAGTGCCCCCGGCCGTTGATATAAATGCCGTTGGAGGTAGGCTTAGCCCGGAGAGTGCCGTTCTCTTGGACAAAGTGAGTCATTGCTTGTTTGATGTTATTCTCATCGTCCCGCTCTTCCTCCTCTTCTTTCTCTTTCTCCTTCTCTTTGTCCTTCTCCACCTGGTCTTCTGGGACAGGAGTTGGGGGTGGCGGGGGAAGCTCTGTCTGGGTCTCAATTTCCCGGACTGTTGACAAGGTAGAGTAGCTGCGTCCCTCGGCTTCCTCACTCTGAGCAGGAAAGAAGGCAGAAAAGTCACCAAATGAGGATGGGGTCAGATGGGGACAACATCTCAAGAAAAACTCAAGTTCTTCCTCAACCACAGGAGCTCAAGGGAGAATGTTGGACACATTACAGTAAGCCACAGCTCACTGAACCATGATTCTTTGAATAATAATCCAGACCACCCACCAACCCATAGATTGCTTTAGAGATGACAACAGCTGGGTTCACATAATATGCGAAGCCATACAACCAAAGAAACCACACTATGGCTTAATACAATGTATGAATCCAATTGTAATCGCTCCTCCTATCCTACCTCAAAGGATTGTTATTGTGAGGATAACAATAGTAAAAGGAGGATAAAATGTGCCCTTCCTTGCACTTCCAGAGGAAAGGCACATTATAAAAATTGAGGAAATGAATAAAATGTTATGATAGGCAAAAGGGTGTCCAAAGAACATCATTTGGGTGGCTTGATGCAAAACAAAAGCTATAGGAAAAAACATCCCAGGATTAACACTAACCAGCTTTAACAAGCTGTGTGAATTCCCTGCATCTCTGAGGAACAAGAAATGTTTTGATTGGCTTCTTTCAAGCTGGAAGCCAAGCCGTGCGGGCTGATCCACCACGATCAGACTCATGGTGGACATGGAGGATACCAGGTTGGGGAAAGAAATATTCTAAGGGAACTGGAGAGATGAAGGCCACCTCATGAGGACACTGAGCAAGGCCACAGGGAGAGTGGTTGGACAGGGAGGGAAGAGCAGAAGAGACTGGAAGAGCCAACTAGGCGGAGGCTGCTGGAACTCTTCCAGAGAAATGAACGGGAGAAGAAGCAGGGGACTTTTGGGTGGGAATATGGTCAAGTGGAGGGATCTCCAATCAAGCCCAAGCAGCATGGAGACAGAAGAAAGCTTCAAGGCAATCGGCCAAGTATGCGCAATGGAGGAGAACCCAAATTGCACCTGCTGGAAGTGTAAGACTCTGTCCCTGTTGGAGGAGAAGGTCAAAAGGCTCAAGGAAGTTCTATATCACAATACACTAAGAAAGGTTAGATGTTCCTAGAAGGTGAAGCTGCTTGGGAGGGGAAGAGAGGGGAAGCAAATGCCATAAAGTCCAAAGAGAAAAACAAATGGAAGCGTCTGATCCAGAGCAGCATGATGATTATGAGGCCGTGCTCCTGATTTTGTTCTTGAAGGCAATCTACGTCCACCTGAACAAGCCTTGTCAGCCTTGGTTTCATGGAACAGAAAAGTTCCCGTGGGTCAGAGAAATCTAAGAACCACACTGAGGAAGAAGGGGTGAGTGGTTCCCTGCTGAGAGGAACCAAGGCAGATGCATGCAGACCTGATATGACATCCTGGGAAGTGTGTTGTAGTCCAGGTGCCCATATCCAGGATGCGACAGACTCTTCAAACCTACCAGTAACTATCCCCTCCTATTGATTTATGTGGGGAGAAAAGGCACTACCAGTAGAGACCTTGAACAGATCTCCAGAAAGGCCCTTGGCCTGAAGGTGAAGTATTGGGAGTGCAAGTAGTGTTTCCATTCTTTCATTTGAAGGTCACGGCATAAGACAAGAGAACAGATTCCAGAAGTAGACAGCCAGTGATGTAGCTGGCACTGCCAAGAAGGATTTGGGCTCCTTGCCCATAGGCTGTGCTCCCATCTTCCTGGCACGAACTGGGCCACATCTCACAAAGAGAGAAGCAGGAGAGCAGAAAGAGGCTTAGAGATTGACAGGAAACTACACCAGCGAAACCACTGGGGTATCACTCACAGTCTCAGATGTTTCTACACTGACACACTGAGTATGGGGAAGAAAGCGGGAGAACCTGAAGTTCTCCCACAGGAAGGGAATGATGGTGTCGTAGGAATCACTGAAACCTGGAGGGATGGTACACATTATTGGACCATAGCCCTGGAAAGCTACAGCTTATTCAGAAGGAACAGAGTCAACAGAAAGGGAAGCGGGTACTGAACTTGAAAAAAGCTTATGCCTGCAGAGGGATATGATGAATGGGAGCGTGGAAATCTGGATTAGAACATTTGGGTAAAAATAAAAGAAGAGAAAATAAATGAAGTCTGCAGCGGAGTTTACTACAGACTGCTTGGATAGGCAAAGATAATGTGCCAGATAACCAGTTTCAAAGAAGCAATAGCGATAACAGATTTCCACCATCCTGATATCTGCTGGAAATCTAATTCTGCCAGGAGTCAGAGGTTCCACAAATTCCTGTCCTCCCGAGTTGACAGTCAGAAGGTGGAAAAAGAAAAAAAAAAACAAGGGGCTCTGCCTTCTTGGACCTAACCCTCCCCAACAAGGAAGAATTGGGTGAAGATGTGAAGGTGACTAGAACCTCAAGAGGAAGTGACCATGTTATCCTCAAGTTTGCAATATCAAGGGAAGGAGGAATAAAGAAGAATCAGACTTGTACGCTGGACTTCAAGAAGAGTGGATTTTGATGAATGAAGACAGAAGGTAGGACAGATCCAGTCGGTTGGAAATCCTGAAGGTGAAGTGTCTGGGAGGGAATGCTATCCAGGTTAGCCAATCCCCTAGTATCCTCCCACCAAGGTTTACTGATGCCTATCTGTGACGGAATGGATCTACGAGGAGGAGGGTGATGTGGGAGATCAAGGCTATCAGGAAGGAGGGGGGCATTCCAGGAGCGGGGAGGGGGCAAGAGACAACACAGTCCATGGGGGGAGCGTGGGAAGTGAAAGAGGTTCAGGATAGCCCCTCCCTAGAATTTCCCAGGGTAGATCCACCAGTTGCAGTAATATAGATTGAGTCTGGCAAGATTCTGTCTATATGGTGTAAGCAAATAAAGGAACTTGACTCGACTGGACTGTTTCAGCGTTGTTCTTGGGCTGGGCCTGACACTATCATGTCACAACTGTCTCCCCTGAATTAGGCTCTCTAGTCCTCCCTGTTTATTTTCCAGATTCGGTGCATCAGTGTAGAAACAGCTGAGGTTGGAGGTGGCACCATCTCCTGTTCCATCTCTTGTAGTTTCCTGCAAGACATTTCCTGGACCTTCACCCCGTCCTCTTGTTTCTCCCTTGGTGTTTGGCTTTCTCGGTCCCATTCCTGCATGTTCAGTTTGGGGCTCTGGGCATTTTTCTCTTCTGATGAGACCTGTGAGTGCCCAACTCATGGAATCTCAGTCTTTGGTAAGAGGTAGCCCATCTCTTCACATAGCACAACGCATGGCCAGAGGGTCAATTTCTCTATTTTGGGTAAGTTCGCAATAATTAAAATGTCTGCTCTACCAAAGCTGTTATTTTTATTTCAAATCCTTCTATTTTATCTTATCATCTTATCTTATCTGATCTGACGTTATCTTATCTTATCTTATTTTTCGATAAACAATTACAATGCTGGCAATCAGGGATAAGTTTTCCTGTTTTGGTTCAAAACAGCTTCAGATAAATGAGGTTTGCTATATTTGCATTTTAATGAGGGAGGGAGGAGCATTTCAAATTTGAAAGTGTAAACCCACAACAACATTAATAATGGGAGACTCAGACACTGGGTAAAATTTAGAAAATATTAATGTAAGTTGTACATCTTTAAGTAAAACAGTGTTTTTTAGAAAACTTTTAGAGTCTCGAAAACAAATAACTGCTTAGATTTACTGAAAGTGTAAGTCATGGAAGTTACATATGGATTTTGTAAATGCTGAATGCAATACTAGTTCACCTTCTATTTTTTAATAGAAATAGAATGAAATAATATGTTGGCTGGAATGAGAAAAGGTTTTATATAAATTATATTCAATTTATCTAAAGTTAACATTGAAGAGAATGGAATTAAATTGGATATAGATTAAAATGGATATAGACTGAAACCTTTCTGAAAAATCAGGAAGTTTTTATCCAAGCCAATAGACCATTTGCAGAATTTGAATATTTCATATTTGGGCCTTTTGTCATTGCTTTCAAATTTTAAAAGCACTGATGAATCTTTTAATAATGGCTGCTAGACTACTAATAACAAAATATTAAAACACCTAGAACGGGCATCTATGAAAAATTAGTACAATATACTATTGGAGTAGAAAAATGAACACACATTGAAGCTAGTTGAAGAAAATAAGAGGGTTCTATGTATATATATATTTTTCCTGTATGGTATAATTTTACAAAATACTTTAATAATGAGAATAGTAACTAAAGACCTACATATTATGGGATACCATGGAAGGTACAAATATTGTAAATTAAAAATTAGTTTAAAATCAATTAATTAATTAATTATCTCCTTTGAATGATGTTAAGATGTATTGATTTGAATTTGTGAAACGCCGTTGGTTGTATATCTATCACAATAAATAATGCATACATTTTAAAAACCTCGTTCAGAATGTAAACTTCTCTGAATTCTGCAATGCCGTCCGTTTTTTTAAAACGTCTGTTCGATAAACGGTTGTACGAAAGTGCGTACATTCATGAAATTATATGTCATTTATATGTGTTTTTTGTTTGAAATTAGGCTAAACTGCAAACAAAAATGCGTATGTTTGGCAAAAAGTGCAATATAACGAATGCAACGCTTTAAAAAATCAACAGGTTTGCAAAGATGAAGATCCAGCTGTCAGCGTTGCAAAGATGAGAGACCCAGTGACGCCCCAACCGGCCTCCTGGCTTGATTCAACTCACCAAGACTGAGCAGAGGCTGGTTTC